TTTAAATGTTTTAATTTTTTTAGAATAAAAATCTTTTGAATTTTTAAATTTGAATTTTTTTAAATCATTAAATGTTACATTTTTACATTTTAAAAAATTCAATTTTAAATGTTCTATTTTTTTATTTTCCAATTTTTTAATTTTTTAATTATTATTATTATATTTAAGCTTTACAGACATGTTACGAGTTTTTTGCATGTTCTTAAGAAGTAGGGAGTAAAACAGCTTTTGCTCACCTCTTCAATTCAATTGAGTTAAATTAAATTTTATTCATATAGCGCCACATCACTACAACAGTTAACACAGCGCTTTCCAAACAGAGCAGGTCAGACCTACTCTGAAGTTATTTACAGAAGCCAGACCTCCTCTCAGAGACCCACTTCTGAAATCCACTGGTTCAGTAATCATGCTCCGGCCTTTGCTTTTCCGCTTCAGGGTGTCGTGGCGCTACGCCAGAGGCATAATCACCTCTGACGACTCCCTCTTCCAGCGCTGGGAGGCCCCCCATCTGGACCGGGTGGTCATGGAGTCGGTCAGGGAGGAGGACGCAGGTGCTCCACTGGCTCCATGACCATCGACCAATATCTCCGTAAAACATCTAAATGCTCCAGTTAGGATTAGCTAACTCACTCTCCGGGCTGTCGGCAGGTACCTATCGCTGCGATGTGCAGGACACCAGCCTCCGGAGAGTGAAAAGGATCTACTGGGGGGTCAGGGTTTTACCCATTGGGATTTTCAGCCTGGACCTGCAAAGCTCTGTGGCCCGACAGGAAAAAGCTGAAAGTCTACAGAAGATACCTGCAGTACAACCTGGATCTACAGGGAAACGACTTATTTATGCTGTAAGACGTTTTTCAAATAGTTAACAAAAGGGTTTTTAACTTAGACTTGTACTTTATTGATCCTTTGGGAAGACTCCCTCAGGAAATTAAAGTTACCAGCAGCTTACAGGGCAAAAAAAGTGGCCCACAGAGAGCAAAATGTATAAAAAATACAAAAAATACAAGTACACTTGTTGCACTGAAGCAATGCAGCGACTCACTGGCTGTAACTGTGTTGTGTGGACACACAGGTGGGGGTCAGTCTGGTGACCGTGGGCATCTGGGCTGGACTTCTAGGCCTCTACAGAAGAAGGAAAGCGAGAGTTACAGAAGAATGAAGATGTTTTGCGTGCGTTTCATATCCGTTTCCCAGCAGAACCTTTGTGATGCGTTCATCTCCGCTTCACGTTTGAAATATAAGCAAGTCAGAAATTAGTTTCCGCTTTTATCCACTGTGGAAATGATGTGTTTATCAAAGAGGGACAGACAGAGATGCTTCTTGTATAGATTAAAAATAAAAGTCTGTCGGATCTCTGGTGTTTTTTAAGTCTTTAGCACTGTGGTGGGATGAAGGCTCATTGAAATGACAGGACAACACCCCCCCCCCCCCAAATCACAATATGAGGAAGAAAATTCAAACCAGATGAAAAATGTTTGTATTCTGGCGTCTGCAGAAGTGTGCGTGGCTCAATACATCCACAACATTATTTTACAGGAGTTGTGTTGAACATAATATGAGAAATGAAAAAATAAAAATCTGTTTTTAAAAGGAATTGTAGGTCATTTTGCAGCTCTGCACAGGTCTACGACTTAGTTACAGTTGTAAATCTAATTATTAAAAGATGTCAGTTCAGTATAGCCATTGATTATAACACTTATTCCCAACGGGGTTACAGGAGCCAATCCAAGGCAACAATGGGTGAGAGGTGGGACACAGAGACACACAACCACACGCACGCACATTCACTGGTTGAACAAATGATTGAACAGTCAATAATTCATTCATCTCCTCTCTGTGACTACTTTAAGTATTCATAACAATGTTATGAATGGCTATGGTGGTCGTAGTTACAGTTTAAATAAAATTCTTGGTCTTTTTGCCCTGTGAAGGTAGATTAACGACATCATGAAGTCTCAAAGATTTCACATACTGATAAACAGGACATTTACATTTTGGCTGACAAAGCTGAAACATCTAAACTGGTCCTGGCAGTGACCCTACGACACGTCACCGTGCTTTCCAGCACTGTTCCACCAGATGGAAGTGTTGCTTTATCTGGAGCGCCACCCGTTCCATAAAACGCACCGGATGGACAAATGGGATCCCAGCGGTCATCACCTCACAGGTGAGGTCAGCTGCTGACCTGCAACTGGTTCAGAAGAGCCTCCTCCCAAATGCAATTTAATGGGGTTTGTTACAGTAATTATGGAGATTGATTGTAGTTGTTACTACCCCAAGAATTAGCATTTTCATTTGAAGGAGTCGTGTTAAATTTGTGAAATTCGTTGTCACTTATTTTAGATCTGTATATAAACATATAGTTGCATGTGTATATATTTATTTTTATTTTGTGTGGAATGTTGTATGTATATATATATATATATATGGACATGTATGTCTGTGCTGTTGTATATCTGGAGTTTGTAACGAAAATAATTTCCCTCTGAGATCATTAAAGTATTTTCTGATTCTGATATCTGATTCTGATAAACAAGCAAATTAATACCTTGGATCTCTAGACAATGGTTTGTTACAACCTTAAAAACATCCAGATTTCCTGTTTGTTCAACGCCCACAAAGGGGTTCTGGTGGACCACATGGATGTACGTTTCTGTTCTCTGTGGCACCTTAACAAATGCACTCCATTAGGCTAATGACTGGACTCCCAGGCACAGAATTGTACTTTAACAGACCCTGAAAGGTACAAGTACGTCCCCATGTCGAAGGGTGACAAGTACAATTAGCTTCTCTTTTTTTCCTGATTGTCTACATGCCATCTAAAGATGGTCATAAAAACACATGTTCTAACCAGCATGATTTAATTATCCTAGCTCCAGTTTGATATTCAGCTCAGTTATAAAATGTAATGATGTGGAATGGTCAGGTTTGGTTTAAAATCAACGTGTTTGGAATGAAGGGAAGATGAAAACTGGTGGTGAGCGGGGTCCCTCAGGGTACCGTCCAGGGTGTCCCCCGCCTCTGGCCCACTATCAGCCCTACTAGCAAAAAGCTGCATGGATAACAGACGGATGGAAATAATCTGTAACACTTGAGTGAAGGATTCCTCCAAAAACCGTAAAGAAAAAGAAAAGGTCAGCGAACAGACTGGACAAAGCCGTCAGGGAGAAAACGAGGCCGGTGCTTTCCCTGACTCAGAGGCAACGCTGACAGCTTGATCAACATGTTTACTTTGGTTATTTTGGGAGGAGCTCTTGTAAATAAGAGACTCATTGGAATTGACAGGAATCCAATTATGAAGATATCCTCGCTGTAATTCATTCATTTCCTCCGCGAACTTTGCCTGGCTCAGCCATCGTGTCCCTGCGTGAGCGTAGTAAAAACATCAGCCTGACAGATGTAATCGCTCCACCGCCTCTACACTCGTTGCTCCACGGCAGAATCAACACAGCAATCAAGATTAAGGTTATATTTGGCTGCATTCTCCAATTTTGTGGATAATCTGTTCAGTCCTAAATAGACTTATTTGATTAGACTTACTTATCAGAAATTAGGTTCGTCACTGAAATTTGAACAAAAACTAAACGAAAACGAACGCCATCTTCATACAAAAGAAGAAGCCTTAAAATGTGATGGGTCTCTCCTGGATCCATGCACTTGAATTTGTCTGGGATAACACCGTTTGCAGAAAAAGCCGTGAGCAGTTGATTACAAATGCGAAGCCGGCATCATGGAGCATCTCTCACTCGGTCCTTTTCTTTCAGGCACTTGTGCGTCTGAATTGGTCCTTCTGCCTCCATCCCTCTGCTGCCTCTTCTCTTCGTATTACTTTCTGAGATCGGGTCCTCTTATTTCAGTGAACGTTATCAACAACAAGTGTTTGGAAATGGCCCTGGAGGTCTCCCCTGGAGGGATTCAGAAGCTAATATATATCCTGCTCCACACTACACCCACTGATGGAATACCAACTAATGATACATGTCCTTTAGAAAAATAAACAGTCAAGACTTTTTGCATCTAATTTGACATTCTTATATTTGGATCTCGAGTGTGATCCTGATCATGCAAGAAATGACACGTTTGTTAAATGTTGTTAGCACAATAAATATGTAAAGACAAAAACAAAACAGCCATGATGAAATTATCACTTCATTTGAACATTCTTTGTCAGTAAAATGAGTAATCACACACTAGAAACTATTGAATTGATCAGTTTAAGTCATATAACTAATATGCAAGAATCTCCATGTTGTGCATTCACACACCAGAATGGAATTAGCCATCTAAGTCATCTAAGTCTACGGCAGAAATAGCCACAGAATTATGGTCTCAAATCTGCTAAAACAACTACAGTGTCTCATTTATACCAAAGTGGCTGATGAGTAAAGTATTTAATTCTACATGAATCAGTTCTGCATGATGTTAGATCACCACAAAATTCAAGTTTGTGACAACTAGAAGATACCTTGCGGGAAAAATGAGTTAACCAAAGGTCCTGTGCTCCCTCCACTGCCTTTTTAAAATCATACTTTTTACTCCATTACTTACTCGTTACTTCTAACTTTCTCCTACACAGCTAGGGATATGCAGTAGTAGTAAATAATAATTATTTTTGCCCTACTACTGTGGCCTCACAGTAAGAAGGTGATGGGTTCGAATCCTGGGGGAACCAGGAAATCATTCTGTTTACTCCATTACTTACTCGTTACTTCTGTTGGTTGATATTTTTAATCTATTTTGTCCGACAGACGCTTTGTAAAACAACAAACCTCTCCTACACAGCAGGGTGATATGCAGTAGTAGTAAATACGAGTTATTTTTGCCCTACTACTGTCGCCTCACAGCAAGAAGGTGATGGGTTCGAGTCCTGGGGGAACCAGGAAATCATACTATTTACTCCATTACTTACTCCTTACTGCTGTTGGTTGATATTTTTAATGTCGCACAGTCTGGGGACGCTCAGATGGACAACCCTGATTAATCCATGAATCCTGGTTTGACCCCCGCTGGTATCATTTTAGTTTAGTCTCCAGTTTTTCTGGTTCAAACTGTACTTGGAATATTCCAAGTTCCAGCTTTCCTTTGATATCTGCTGGAAATACATGTATTTAAATGTATTTCTTTTATTATACTGAACCAACCCTCGTGCCTAGGCATTAGCCCTGCATCCAGAAGGTCGCTGGTTCGAATCCCAGCCCCAGTGAACACTGTCATTGTGTCCCTGCAAAAGACACACAACCCAAACTGCCTGTATAAGACTGTGATAGTGGGACTGTGCGGGTTCTTTAGGACCTTTTTAGCTGCAGGATGACTGAAGAGTGGATGAAGCACCTTTGAATGTCTGGAAAGTTTTATTTTTTGGTTCTTCCCTATTCGTTTTAGACTTGTATGTGTTAGATTTGTAATATCTGACTAATTTTTGAAGTCTCAGGGCGATGTATTACTACCTACATGAATCTTGTGCCATTTAATTTGGAATATCCTCTATTAATCACCGTATTTGAAACTTTTTATTTAGACAAAACTGCACAATTTCAATGTCCAGCCACTTGTGATGTCGTAATGGGTCAATAGATCTTTTTCTAACTTATAAATAGGGGTTTAAGGGAAACAGTCATTAGTTGTGACTGCATTAAGAGCCACAACAACAAGAAAACAACTTCCGGGGAAGTTTCTCTTCTACCTTCATGTATGTCTGCTGACCAGCGAGCCAGAAACTGACCGACTGGAAGCGACTCCTCAGAGCCGGGCACCTACCTTTAGTGTTTGCCTGACTTTGAGTTAGATTAAAGGAAAACATAGAGGACTGGTGCTGAAATTGAGGGCGGTTCGGGCACACACGAACACACACGAACACGCGCGAACACACACAAACACACACAAACACACACGAACACACACGAACACACACACGACACGGCGGATGACCTTTCCTTAAAGACCTGCTCAGGTGCACTTGCACTGTAATTGGAGACACTCACAGAGGGGAGCCTGTGTGTGTGTGTGTGTGTGTGTGTGTGTGTGTGTGTGTGTGTGTGTGCGTCTGTGTGTGTGTGTTTTTGCCGCGATGGCTGAGCACCTTAAATTAATTCCACTTGAGGTCTGACATTTATGTATAAGAGCAGCCGGAGAGAGCTGACCGCTGGAGTGGGCGTGTGTGTTTAATTTCTGCTCTTTTAGGCAAATCTTTTGAGCAGATTTAACTGTTGGAAAATCTGCTGGCTTGTTTTTTAGCCCACGAATGGACTATGGAAAAAGCACCAGCGGGTGGCTAAGCAAAAAAAAGGAAACTGGCCAATTACATTTTTGTTTTTACACAAATTATTATTTCTCGTTTCATTTTGTTCGCAATTTTGGTTATAATAAAGGAAAAAAAATCTATTAAAAGACAAATAATTATGATACATTGAGATAACAATAGTTTATATTTTCATATATAATACATATTTATTCTTATATCTATAACAAAAGACAAATAATTATGATACATATATAGAGATGACGATTTTCATTTTTCTATCTACAATAAATATTTCTACTTATATCTGTAACTTAAAACCATCAATTGAGCTGTAACTATTGAAGTTATCTGTAGAAAATGGGAAACAGGTTGGATAAACCATATCTGAGTGAGGTTTTCCACCAACGGCTGCAATCCAAATATATGTCTCGTTTTAAATGATACGATTCAGACTCAGATTTAAGCCAGTTGACATTTGGAAGAGGCAGACATTATTTCCATGCTAATCTGATCTAAAAGAAAATTCTAAACTGGTTTCTACTTGAATTATTTTGTGCGAGTGTAAAATAACATAAAATGTGCAGTCACATGCTTGAAAACAGCAATAAAACATTTGTTTGTGTGCAACGAAAAAGTATTTGGCAACAAAGATGAATCAATTTGTGCTAATCTGATAGTATCACAGTATAGAATGAGCCTTTATCCCCCTGCACAGGTTCAATTTCTCTGTTTTTTAAACATCTCTTTGAGTTTTCTCCGCAGGTTTTGGAGTGGCTGGCTGATGTTTGTGCCGTGTCTAATGTCTTTTTAATGTGTTGGCCTCATGCGCTCAGCCACCCGAGGTTCAGCAGCAGAACAGTAGGTGAAGAATGCTTCTCTTTATGGTTTGTGTGTCCTGGCCGGGATGGTTTCCAGACACGGGAGGTGGCAGATGCAGCCCAGAATGCATCCCTGGACGGGAGCAGTGACCACACCAACGCTCTTTCTTCCCGTGGACTTTTGCGGCAATGTCACGCTCTGACATTTCAGCGAAAAAAAAAAAAAAGATTAGAGCCATCATAAGCATATTATTAGCTTTTCCCGGTGTTGTGAGGAAACCTGGAAGAGGCCTCTCCTAATCCAATTTCCCAGCACTCCGGGCAAAATTGTCTGAGGTTCAACGGGATGCAATATGATTATGTTTGCTGAAAGCAGGGATTGGTTTTCACACCGCTTCTATTAGCAGCACATCATAATACCCCCTGCCTGCTTAGGCCACTGTCATTTTTCAAATCTACAGCCTAATCCATAATGAGACCCTGCCAGAAGGCCCCCATAAACGTACCTAGATAGATAGATAGATAGATAGATAGATAGATAGATAGATAGATAG